CGATTGTAGTATTGTTTTCAATACTCCTCTTAATGTGTCTCCATGCAAGTCCCTGTATCCTTTCTGTCCCTTCATCTTGGTGCTCTCAAACAGTGTCAATACACTCCCGTCTTGTTCTCTGATGTGTTTCAATACATTGGACCATTGCTCACTCGCTGATTGTACATGGGTCAGTCCATAGGCTAAGTGTTCTTCCGTGGGTATGTCACCAAATAGATATAGACAACTCCACCACTGAAAATATAATAAATAATAACTACAAATCTACAATGTATATGTAAAATTACATATGGCAAAATGCCATGTATGTTGTACATGTACATGCATACGACAAAATTCTGAAAATTACCCAAGGCTATAGTCTTGTTCTTTTCCCAAAAAATGACTGCAAAATCACCACAAATTTTTCTTACATTTTCTGATACATACCTGACATGTACATGTACTGTACATGTACACGCAAGCACATAAAATGAAGCATAAACCATATACTACATGTACATGTATTTGTTTATGGCTATACATGTATATCTCTGCCTCTCTCTCTCTCTCACTTTATTCTGACATGATTCCACCAGTTCCACAAGCTCCATCAATTGTCTCAAAGCACTGCTCCAATACTCCAACTGTCCCTTCAGCCCGCCCACACAATGAGGAGACCCGCAATACACTTGGACTAGTGTCAGATCCTCTTCCAATTCTTGAAGCACCTCCCTAGCGTCCACTAGCCTTGTTATACTAGGCCCACTAGCACTCACTACTGAACTCTCCATTGAAGGAGATGACAATGCAAACTTTGTCACACGTAAGCTCTCCCTCGTCTCTGTCAGTATATCCGGAGAGGGAGAGGAGAGAGGGAAGGCAAAAGAGTACTTCTCATAGCTTTCTTTGTCTAAGACAAATTTCCTCCCCTCCCATTTCTTTTGTAGGGTTTCGACAGAGTTCTTAAGGGCTGCCTCCCTCTCTGCTGATTGACAGACCTCATTGAGTAGTGGCCTGTTTTCGGGTGAGAGTAGCTTGTATAAGAGAAGGTCCTGTAGTGTGTATAGAGTGGACGAGTTGTACTGGACCTCAACAGCAGCTAGTAATGTATACCAGTGAGTGTGCTAGAGGGAGGAGAGGGGTACAGTGAGTAGAAATGAAAGGGACAGAAAAAAAGAGGAGTACATGTACATGTATTTTATAATTACATGTACATGCATGTACATTGTACATGTATATTTGCTTTCTACATGTACATGTACATGTGTAAATGTAACCAGGATTTCTCATAAGCTAAACAGCATGAGCTTCATGAGCTGACAAGCACTATAATACAGTACATGTACTACAAGCATTTGGAGCAACTTCAAAAATTTATTTAAAAATCCAATTTTTATCTGAATAAGTTTTATTGGTCAATTGCGAGTAGGCATAGTAAAATTATGCTTATAAAAGTGCATGTATATTTAATAAAAGCATGGAACAAAGTACATGTAACACGTATTTGATATAAATTATATTTACTTTAACAGAAGGTGAAGATAATTTCTTAAGCAATGGTAGCAGGTTGTTGTATTCATTTATTCTTTCAGAGAGTGTCATCAGGACTGGATCATCTACTGATAGTATCTGTGACAATGAGTCTATGGTAGACAACCACTTCTTAAGCTTTTCCCCAACATCCTGTACATTAAGCTATGAGGAGAGAGAAAAAGGTTCATCATAATCTTGGTGGAGCTGAAATTGCTAATTTTGATTGACTTTAATTTTGGCTAAATGTACATGCAGTTAAACATGTACATGTACATGTATGAGATTATACAAGTAGCCAGTGTACATGAACAGGTACATGTACATGCACAATACACTGTAGTTCAAAATGTCAGGATTAATTTATTTTGACACATACATGTACATGTACATGTATACACGTAATTTGTCAAATTTCTAAAATGTGAGTCTAAATGTAGTATGTGCATTATAAGATACCGGTACATTGTACATGTACATGTGTACATGTACATGTCAAAAAGCTATTTCTTGTACTTTTTTAAAAGGTTTAGTTAGCCATTCTCTCTCTGTGGCATTAAAAGTTCTCAGGTTCCTCCAAATCTCCATACGAGCCTTCAAATAAGCCATAGCCCTACAGGAACACAATACCAGTAAAACCAGTCAAACCAGTTTATGTAACTGGTTATAAAATATGTACTTTTTCATCTCGGTAGCATCTGTGGGTTCACCAGTGATTGCAGTTCTCCATTTTGATAGTCCATCATAATGTGAGTGAGAAATATTCACTATATCATTGTAAATCTGCAACAATAATAACAATAACAATTAAACAACAACAACAACAACAACAACAATAATAATAATATAATACAGTAATAATAATAACTAATGTTAATGTGCATGTATATGTAGTACTTCTTCTAATTGTAATATGGTTAATGATATGTCAGAGAGTGGATCAGTGAATGGAGGAGACTTCAATTCAGACACTATACACAACATTTCATTCTCGCACGCCTACAATGAATATAATACAATAAAATAAACTATAAATTAATTAGCAATAAAAGGCCTTTTATATATGTACTAGATTACATCTTACATGTATATGTATACATGTATACATGTATGTATGTATCTATGTATGTTATATGTATGTATGTATACATGTACATGTACATGTACATGTAAGATGTAGGTGTAGAAATAAAATTCGTATTTGGGGCCAATATCCCACAAGTAATGCATGCACAATAGTTTTTAGAATAATTTCAAAGAAAAGCAAAACAACAAAAATGATTACATGTACATGTACATATTGGGGGCATGACCTTTTGACCCTATTATCCTACACCTGAATTATTACATGTACATGTACATGTACATGTACACCTGGTACTTGATGCATAATAAAGGACA